CTTATTAATTCTTTGATGATGAAAAATAACATGGGGAGTTGGTCCTTTATATAGGCACCAAATTATATCTAGTCCTAATCTACCTAGGGAAATAATAAGCAATAAAATATTTAATATCCTAAACAATCTAGATCTCTTATTGTAGGATGGAAACAACTTGACTTGCACTCCACTCAAACTATCCCTCTCTCTCTCTTCGGCCTTTGTACGCGGGCGCCCTACCCGCGCGCCGCCTTCGTCCACGCCCTAGTCCTTGAGGACTAGGGCACCGCCATTAGCGCGTGCACGCCCGCCCGGCGTGCGGCACACGCCTGCGCTCACCTCGCCGCCCTCGTGCGCGTGTCCTCCCATCAGCCCGAATTCCTTGAGGATTGCGGCATTGCGTCCCGCGCGTCCATCCCCATCGGCCGTGTTGCACACGCCTTTGGCCCCGGCGGCTTCCCCGCGTGCGTGCTGCCCCGCCTTTCCGCATGCCTCGAGGCATGCGGCTTCGTCCGCTGCGCGTGCTTCCAGTGCGCCCGATCTTTCCGCGAGCGCGCGCATCGACCCCGCGTCACGCAAGCCAACCGCACACACCGCCCGCACATCCGCGCGCAGCGTATCCTCGCCCGTTTCTCGCGCGCTCCGCTCTAGTACGCGCACTTCTGCCGTCGCTCGTGCCTGTCTCCTGCGCGCATGGTAAGCCCGACTTGCGGCGTTCTTGAGCTGCCTAGCCACTTCCGCATCACGCTGTGTGTGCGCGCTGGGCGCTGGCTGGCACCAGTGCACAGGGACCGGCAGAAAAGCAGGGTTTCAAATAGGACCGACCGATTTCAAAATGCACTCGATCGATTTACTTGAAATTTTTACACATTAAAATAGACCTAGAAAGGCATATTTTCACAAGGTTTCAGATCCAACTCTTCAGTTTAACTCAATCAACCAATTTTTACAAAAAGACGATGAAAATCTGAACTTTCTAGTTCACCGAGCAATCCTTTGAATTTTCCAACAACATTTGGACACAACACACATAACATCAGATTACTAACACTCACCAAAAATCACAGCAAAACTCCAAGAATTCGATTTTTAATGATTTTTTAAAGTTTCTATTTCAGAACTTTAAATCAACATTTGACATAGCTACAGAGCTCATTTCGACTTGAAATTTTTACACAACATATAACACTATCAGAGTGTCATACAGTTCAATTTTCACAGCAATCGGACGAATACACAATTTATAATGATTTTTCAAGTGTTCAACAACAATACCCGATTCAAAATAGCATAAATGACAATTTACTCAACAATTTCGTGTAAGGCCTTCAACATGAGGCCAAAGACTTCAAATGTTCCAATAATCCACAGTACTATTCACGATTTAAGCATAATTCACATACGAACGCAAATAACGAATGTAATACGCAATTAATCGATCATAATTTAAACCCTAACATGCAATTCTCCTCAAGGCTCACTATCTAACATATACACACATAAAAATAAGGGGGTTTTAGATAGCCTTGTACCATTCTCGGGGAGATTTGCACGAAAGAGGGTCGAACGAGGCCGAGGAGGGCTGCGATGCGATCGTACCGCACGGCAGCTTCGCGTGGCGTGCTAGCGGGCTGGCTTGCGCGTCTGCTGGAGGTCACATGTGCGATCGCGGGGGCGCTGGATGACGACGGGAAGCACGAACAGTGCTGGCCTGGGGTGGGCAACGCCCGCGATGCTTGATGCGGGTGGTCGTCTACGGGGTCGCTGGCGACAGCGATGGGTAGCGGTGGTACCGGGCTCTTGAACACGATCGGGAAGGGGTCGACGACGGCACTGACCACGCGAACAGGGCCAGCAGAAAACGGCGGTACGTGGCTTGCCACGGACAGCGAGGGAGGCGATGGCCTGGGACGACGTTGCGACGGCCACGACCGATGAGCGACGGCGGCGATCGAAAAGGAGAGAAAGAGAGAGAGCGAGAGAGATTGGAGAAAAGAAAAAGGCTGCGGGGAAAATAAATTTGACGAGCTAAGGGGTCTAATCCCTCCTTTTATAAAGCTAGGTCTTTGACCACATAGCTTAGTCAACAAGCTATCCAAGTCTTGCCAAAAATAATAAGAGAGAAGGGAGAGAGATTAATTAAGGGAGGGAGAGTAATTAATGGACCAAATCAATTCTCAATTAATTGGTCAAAGCCTTAATTTCACTTTAATGGCTAATGATGAGTAAATAAAGATGGCAGTTAATTCTTGAAATTCAAACATCACTAGCTTGCATAAGAAATACACCAACGGTTGGTTCGGGCGGTTCAATTGAAAATCCCAGTTATGCTCGACGTCGATGATCCGGTTATATGGATAAATAATTCGGCTCGGATCGATGAAAATTAAATTAAATTAAATTAAAAATACACATAAGCCACATAAATACACACAAGGCACATAAATTTCACTTAGGCAATTAGACAGTTAAATATAAAGCAATAAATAATGATATTAATGGAAACAATAATAATAACAATAATAATAATAATAATCCAATTTATTCATAAACGAACGGGGCGTTACAAAAATCCTACTACTACCAAAATACTAATTGTCTTGACTTGCACTCCAAGCATAACTTGAAGCACAAGTCGGCCGCACGCCTCAAGCCAACCGCCTTAATGTGCGCGCCGCCATCGCGTTTCCTA